CTCTGGACTAAAGGGCACACTATGGATGAATCGACTCTAAAGAAATAGTCAAGAAATTTAAGAAGAAAAAAAAAATGAATTGTGCGTCTTTCATAGGCTCTCCCCAGCCAAAACACTAACTCAGGGAAAATGTTTAACTGACAATTTAGTTAATCACTTGGATTCAAGATAACAGGAAAAACTGACAGTCGGAGCTTTGGGAATGATTTCAAAGGCCTTAAAATATGCTTGGTAAATACATGAGCCTTTGGACAAATTAAAGGACTTAATATTAGATTAAAAACAACTCCTGTCTTCCCCCTGGTTTTATCATCATATGAAAATCGTGTTTGCACAATATTTTAATTAGTACAACACTTGAACTTAATTTCTAATGATTTCTCTTTCCAAAGTGCCTTCCATTAGTTCCTTGGATCTTAAGAGCTATAAATTTTTTCTAAAAATTGTTTAAAAATAGAAAAATGTACCTAAAATGGTCTTACTGGAATTGCCTGTTTTTCAAAGCATTTAATCTTATTAAATCTTCCAATCATGGGACTTAATGTTCTCACATTGGTTATATTTTCCAGGTCTTCTGTCCCTCTAAGATCTGAAACTATGTTAAATTCCCTTGCTGGATATATAACATTTAGATAGATGGATAACTTCTGCGCAAGACAAATATTGAAGTTGTCACTAAGGAGGCTTGAATTTACGTGCTTATTTTCAGTTTATGGAGTGACGACAGATTAAGAATGTATGTGCATGTCTTCACATGGTATTAAATACATTTAATTTTATTGCCTTAGAAATTATTTATACAAAATAATGTATAAGATGCTCATTTGATCTTGATTTCCTATCATACATTGCTTATGTCAGTAAAAATAAAAGCTGATTCTTTTGTAAGGTGATAATTAGTAGATAATTTGGATTTTTAAAATCTGAGCTTCAGTTTATATTTAAGACAGAGACCATTAAAGGAAAATTTCACAGTGCTTTCTCCATCATCTCACTCTTTGCATGTTCACAAAATGGCAGTGTTATTAATCTGTAGAATTCCTCATGAAAGAGGTACAGACTTTTGAACAGGTGATGGTGCAAAAGAGATGCTTTGTGGCATGGACCTAGAGAAAGAGTGTTGAGCTTGCATCATTACAGACCTCAGATCTTTACTACTGCTAACATTACCTAGGACACACATGGGAAAATAATAAAATGTAATTGGCTATCTGATTGAGTGACCTTTTCATAATAGGGATGGAATCAGTATTTTTGGTTTGATTTAGTAACAGTTAGCTCCTACCTTAGAAATCATAAAAGCTCATTTCATAATCTTTCCCCTTAGCAATTATGTTGTAAGTTTCAATTGTGTGCCTTCCAGAGTGTGAAATTCTGCTGTATGTTTACTGATCCATCAGATGATCCAAACATGATCTTCCAACAAAACAAACAGGCAAATAATTAAGACTGAATGACTACCACCGGAAAGTCTTCACAGTGACCACAGTGTAACAAACAGTGATCATGTCCCCAAATGATAACAGTTGATCCTGAAGCATAGACTATAGAAAAAACAAAAAGAATCAAAACAGTACTGAGATTGGATGTGCTGCTTCTTCAATTTTACATTACACAACTTTTAGTTGCTGTATGAATTACTTGCTTCCAGGGAAATAAAACTGTGAACCAACTTAGCAGCTTATTTATCAAAACTAACATTTTTAATTTATATTTGCTTCAAGGTCTTCATCTTACTGTGCCCATCATTCCATATTTATTATATCATAAGTTCTCTCCAATCTCAACCACTTACCCACTTTGTGGGACTCAGAGTAAAATCACCCAGCTTGTAGTTCTAACATTTCATCAGTACTCTTTCACAGTTTCCCCATCTGAGAAGCCGTCAATAGTTTATCCAATTATCGCTAACGCTCACTACTATGAGTTTGATTAACTTTATCTTGATTGTTATATATATTATTCTGGTGGTTTGTCAAGGAGGCAAAGTAAACTTTGTGTGTCAACCTTTTCTTACCCTAATTTGCAAAACAGACCCTTTGTCCCACATGCACGTTACCTAACTGGGTATCTATAAATGCTTCTCAGAAGTCTATAGAAGGTTTTCCTTCTCTGCTCCAGGACCTCATTTTAGGGGAAAGAACAGAGTCAACTTTCGTGGCTACAATTACAAGAATGAAAAGATTATTCACTGCCCTGTTCATCAGCCAGATGTGTTCTACTGGAATTACTTTCACAACAAATATAGAGAAGGATTCCCGCATTAACCAACATAACTCTACCAGCCCCTCTTGGGATTGCATATGCAGCAGGCTTTTTTTCTGCAAGTCAGTTATTTTATGCTTCTCAAACAATTTAATAGCTCATATTTTCAATCAATATACCTCACCCAGTCTTTCTCCTTCTTAGCTAAAATATCTCCAGCTCCTAAATTTTTCTGAGTTTTGGTTTCTTGTGTGCCCTTTAACAGCTTTCCATGACGTCATTAACAAGGTTTAGGCTGCCACAAGATTCCCCTTGCATATATTTACAAACTGATCTGAAGCCCAGAGTGCTATACTTATTCCTTTGAATCAAGATTTATGTCCAGAGAGCTTCTAGTAAGGGAAATTAGCTCATAATAATATCTAATCCCTTTTTGCTTCACAGCCTTAGGGCCCAAGCCTGTGGAGCTGCCAAGCTAATTAAGAGAAGTTACCCTTACAACATTACATCAGCTGAACAAGACTTCTGTATCTCTTAGAAAGTCGACAAACTGATCTCATTGGCATTTATTTATTTTATCTACAAGGAACTATTATTCTGTGCCCAGTTTTCCTGCTAGGGATAAAGAAGAGGGGGGAAAAGTATTCTGCTTTGCCTGAAGGTCCTGTTAAGTCCAGGTCACTGTGCCCAGCCAAGGTCCACTAGTATTGAGCATCTTCTATGTTCTGCTATGTATTTCATTCCCATGGAGAGGAAAGTGGATTTCTTTTGTTGGGAGAAATAATTGAAGATAATTTATGAACCCCTTCTGTCAGGGCACCAACTTGACTGAGAAAGAACTGGCATAAAAATAGCACATTACTGGGCCCAGCACGGTGGCCTAGCAGCTGTAATCCTTGCCTCAAATGTGCTGGGATCTCACATGGTCATCGGTTCTAATCCTAGCAGCCCCGCTTCCCATATAGCTTCCTGCTTGTGACATGGGAAACCTGTCGAGAATGGGCCAAAGCCTTGGGACCCTGCACCCGCGTGGGAGACCAGAAGGAGGATCCAGGCTCCTGGCTTTGAATGGGCTCAGCTCAGGCCACGGCAGCTACTTGGGGAGTGAATCATCAGGCAGAAGATCTTCCTCTCTCTCTTTCCTCCTCTCTGTATATCTGCCTTTCCAATGAAAATAAATAAATCTTTTTAAAATATAGTGCATTATTAAACTTGTGCTTTTTTCTCAAAAATGTGCTTTTATTTTTTATTTTTATTTTTTTTTTTTGCTTTCATTTTTTATTTTGAAAGTCAGGGAGACAGAAAGAATGTGTGTGAGAGAGATCTGGATCTTCCATCTTATCTTCTGAATTGCTCCCCAAATGCCTGCACCAGAGTCAGGTGGAAACAAGGCACCTGAACCTGCATCTGGGTCTCCTATGCAGCTGGTAGGGAGGATGCACAGAGCTGAGCATCACCTGCCGCCGTCCAGTGTGTACATCTGCGGGGAGTTGGATGGAACATGGAATATAGGTCTTGGAAACCAGGCACTGCCAATTTTTCATTTAACCATTTTGGGGTTAATTCAGTATATACCTCCACGGGAAGACATTTTCCACAATGTCAATAAGCACATTGTATGTAGAAAGCAAACACTTGGCATATACTTGGTACTGTTTGTCTCTTGCTAGGCATTCAGTGGGAGACCAAAAGACCACTAAAGATTTCAAATGAATGAATGCAATAAACTACTGAAGTACAAAGGAAACTGCTTTTGAAAACGAGGCTTTCTAAATTATGCTTGTCACTGAGGTTTCCACCATAGTGCAGTGCAAGAGAAAAATTGAGCAGGGCAAATTTTCATCACGCTGCAAAATTTCAACTACATTTTACCCTACTCCTTTGCTGTGAAAAAGCCTTGCGCTGCCTTTAAGAAATGGCGATGTTACTGGATTTTCTGTGTGAAGTCTAAATTGACATTAGTTGGAAAATTAAAATTGACAACTCTTAATCACCCAGCCTCATTTTATTTCAGTAATATTTCTTCTTCATGAAACCTGAAAGTCTGATTTCTCTGATCTAAGCCATATTTGAGTACAATTTTCTAAATATTAAATGCATGACTCTAATCTAATATAAATATATTACAATGATGTACAGATGTCCAAGATTTTTTGAACTCATTAATGAGAGAATAGCAAGGATGGTAAACCAGCTTCAAAGAAGGATATGAGATATTGAAGGAAAATTATAAAAAGAAAGCAAGCAGAAATACGATTTTAAACTTAAGTTCATTGCAATAAAACCGTATCCTTTGGGAGCTATCTTTTCTATAGGACAAAAGTCACTTAAATTTTTAAAAGAACAAAAGGAATTTGCAATGGTTGGTCTTCTCCAAGTTCACAGGTCACTTTATAGTATCTATATCTTAATCATCTTAATAGTAAATGGTAAATCAGACATTGTTATTCCTTAGTGCGGCAGAGGACTTCCGACCAGCTCTTTAGGCTTTGTGTAGTGTAAACCAATAATTCTTTTAATTGAAAACTGCCTCTGATATTTGGATGGCAATTACATGTATGTATGTAAGTATTGTGTGTTTAAGTAAACATGGATTTGTGTGTTCATGGATAGAAAACTAAGAGGAGATGAAACAGAATACGCAGACTTGCTAAGACTTGGGGTTAGTGTGGCAGGTATAATACTTTGCTGAGCCTGCCATAATAAAGTCCTTGCTAATGGGGAGGCTTACACACAAATTTACTGCCACGGTTCTGGAGGGTACAGGTGTGAGCAAGGCTGCGCTCTCTCTGCAGGCACAAGGGAAGGATGTGTTCCAGTTCTCTCGCCTAACTGTTGCTGGTGGGCAGTCTGCACATGGTATTCTCCCTGTGTAAAGTCTGTGTCCAAATTCGTACCAGTCACATGAGGACACCAGTCACATCATAGCAGGAACTCAGGTAAGACATGATTTAAACTTACTGTAACAACCCTGTGTCCAAATACTGCCACATTCTGAAATTCTGGAAAACTAGTTCTTCAAACATATGGACTAAAGGCAGAGGCACACAATTTAATCCCTAATCATGGTCATGTTTTTCTGAGATTTTAATTCCTAAATATTCAGGTAAAGTAAGTATCATTGCTCATTTAGGAAACCACTTCGGAACAGTTCTAAATATCTTTCTGAGTGTCCTGAGGCTACCATGACACATTACCATGAAGTGAGTGGCTTGAACAGCATGAGACCCCGAGCCCCAGGTCAGGGCATTGGCAGGGCCTCGGCTCCTTCGCAGGCTCCGGGGAGAATGTCTTCCCCCCGACTTCCAACTGCTGTGGCTTCCCACATACTTCATATTTCTTGGCTAGTAGTTTTATAAGTCAATCTCTGCCCCTAACTTCACATTCAATTATTTTTTTTTCAGTTTTTTTAACTGAAAAATTATTTTCCTAGTGATTCTTTTAAGGATTACCAAAAATTCTTTTATCTGTTTATTTATTTATTTAATTTATTACCCAATCCTATTTTATCAGAATGAACTTTGGAGTTACATGAACATAATTCAAATTAGATTCAGAAACATTGTCTTCTCTAATTTTGTTCCATACATATTTCATATTGGTAGTTCAAACCTAACAATGTTACTCAAACTATTATTTTGTATAATTTTATGTCTCATAAAGAAACATAGCAAAGAAAAGACAGAATAAATTTATAGAATTTTGTTATATTAACTTATTATTTACCATTTCTGATTGTTTCCACTTGTTCCTGTTCGAACTACCATCTGGTGCCGCTTCATTATTCCAATACAGCTTTGCTTTCATCCCCCTTCTTTGTGCTATAATTGGCAAGGGCATTACATGTGTACATGTTGAAGATCCAATAATAGAGTTGTCTGTCTATCCTTATACAATTACTTTGGAGTCAGTTAAAAAAGAAAGACGAAACAGACATGCTTACTGTCAATTACAGTTACTTAACCACCTTTGTCAGGATGCTTTATTTTTCTGTAAAAATCCAATTTACTGTGTTAGGTTGTAGATAGCGTCTGTCACTCATGCTCATTCCTTACCATTGTCACATGTTCATATTTTAACACATTTCAGAATTTTTGGTTTAGAATTGGAGATTTAGGAAATATACTGTAGAAAATCTGATTATTGGTTGGGTCCCCTCTTGTTCATTTGTTTAAAGACTGATAAAAAAAATCTATTTCTCCTACAGAGTAAAATTTTTAGGTTTCTATTGTCGAAGAAAAATTCCCGAGAGTGGGTACTTTTAAAGAGGCATATTTAACTCACAGTTTTGGAGGCTGGAAGTCTGAGACTGAACGGTCGCATCCATTTGGCCTCTGGTGAGAGTACCTTGACAGTGTCACAGCATGGTGGATGGCATTACCATGAGCGTACCTATGACAGGAAAAGAACACACAGGAGACAGAAAGCCAGTGGGCAAGGAGACACCAGTCTTAACTCCTTTATTGCAATTTACTCTTTCCAGAACTCATTCACTCTGGGTGAATTACATGAACTCTTTTAAAGTGTAATACCCCAATCCCCTCCCTTCACTTTTTAAGATTATATTCGCTTACATGCCCACATAGAGGATCAAACTTCTGACATCTTAGGGTTAGGATGCTTATGTCCAAAGAAGGCACTGAGATGACAGGTCAAGGCAGAGAAGACCTTTATTGTAGAAGTCACAGCATAGAAGGGTGAAGTAAGGCTTCAGGCCTCCTAGACAGCAAGTGGTGCAGTGCTGGGGAAAAAGGGGGTGTTCTAAGTGAGTCTATATCCTAGGTGGGTAGGTGCTAGGAGGTCCTTGACCAGGAGAGGGTTGTCTGGACTACTGGACATACTAAGGGAAAGTTTGGGTGCCAGAAAGCCCTGTTGAAAACTGTAGAATGCAGCTACTCTGGTGGTTTGGGATAGCCAAGGTAGGAACTTGCAAGTTAATGCTAAGGCAGCAGAATATGACCAACTTGGTGTTAACTATTGACCAAAGCCACAAAATTCCTACCAGATTTGCAAGTTTATCAATTTGTGCCCAATTTTATCAGGTTTTAAGACTGACTAATTGTGCCCATCAACCTAACAAATCCTGACACAACGCATGAGCCCTGGGGGACACATTCAAACTGCATGTAAACCATAGCAGTCTTCGATGTTGTTGGACACAGATCTGGGCAGGCACACAGCTGCAGGAGATGACAGCAAAACTCAGACAGCTCTTGCCCTGATATTTCTATTAAGCAGTCTGCCTTGTTTGGTATCACACTGAGCTCTTAGGTTCCATTAATTGCTGACTGATTGCTCTAATTGTTTTCTGGCTGGTTGAGCTATTGTTTTTGGCAATACCCTTTGTCTTGAATTGTTCCAGAGACTGATCTAATTAAACCTGAGCCCCTTAGCAGAAATACTTCTGGAGGGATGGTTTGAGGTTGCTCTTATCCCAGGGGGGTTCATTTTAACTGTCCCTTTTTCTGGTGCTCCCTGGCTAACTAGCTGACTGTGCTTTATTACCTGCATAGATGTACCAAGTTCCATGTAACTGCTACCAGAATCTCCATTGTTTGGGGGCACATTTAGGCTGGAGCTTCACCCCATTGTATTTTACATTCATTTCTTATGGGGAGAGATTTGTAGTTCTCTTCTTCCAGATTGCCTCTCTGAGCCAGCTGCTGTGTGTCCTGGGTAGGGACCATGACCTCTGGTCTAGTTTGCCTCTCCTGTAATAGAATTTCCATCCCAGAAGTGATTTGGGGTGAACAGTGATCAGAGCCCCAGTGTTCTTAGCCTGCCATGTCTAGGTGAAGTTTCCTTGCTGTAAGCTGAGACTCACTGGCATCCCTGATTTTTCAGTTACATTACCATGAATTTAGCCTCTACAACCCAGAGATTATAAAAATCTCTTCCCTGTAAGATGCTATATTCCTTGATTGGGAGTTTAAGAAAGGAGTTTCATTTTTAGCCACAGTTGTTTGGGAAGGAATTTCAATGAAATGCCCTGGCTAGGAGAGGTGGTGAGAGAGAGGGTCTTTCAAGAGCCCGGAAATTTTGCTATTGCTGTATTGATTTAAGTAGATTTCCTCAAATAAATGTTTCTCCAAAGGCTGTATATACTTAGCAAAGACTTGAAATTGTTAGGACTGAGCAATTTTTTTTTACTAGCCATGCTTATTTTTTATTGGGAAATAGGTTTCAAAATTCATCATTACCATTCCTGATATTTGCTCATCACAATTATTTTCATTATTCCTTTCCAATTATAAACCTATAATTATACACTGGAAAAGTATACACTTTTCCAATATTGAGTCTTTGTGATGTTTTGCATTTAGAAATACTTAGAGTAGACAAGCTGATAGTTTGGGTTATTTTTTTCTCACATCATGTGGGATACAGCTAATATTCAAAGAAAATTGTTAGAGAAAAATACATCTGAAGATTCTATGTTACCCCAAAAAATGCCTGAAAAAAATCCGTGTTTAAAATCAAAAGCAGGCATCTACTGGGAAGCAGATGAAGTGAATATTAATATGATCTAGATACAAAGCCAAATTTACTTTTTGAGTCAGAGCACTGATTCAATTATAACATCTCTTTTAATATTCTTGAACACCAGTAACAGGCAAGTCAGTTCATTAAGAGTCCATATCAAACTGAAAGGTCATGGCTAAAATGAAGACATTGATGATGCCATTTGTCAGTTCATTTAGGGCATTATAAGTGGATCAATTTCAGAAACTAAAAAATCTCCTGTGACATTTGCACTCTGAGAGTAGGTAAATACTTTGAGATGCTTTCCTATTTATGTTTTCATTTATTAGCATTCCCTATGATGTACCAAATGATTGTCAGTTTACAAAATGTAACACCTATAAATGCACTTTAATTATGTAATCAGTTCAATCATTAAGTCAACAAATACATAAAATGAAAATACTGAGCCAGCCTGCTCCAGATTCTGAAGTTATCAATGAATGAGACAGACAAGGTCCGTGTTCTCCTGAAACTTACAGTCTTACAACTGTTTGTTCAACAAATAAATGGAGGAATGTGACTACAGAGTACTGGTTGCTATTGTGCACTGATCAGATGCCCCTATCAGGACAAAGGAATTCGTTTGCAAGCTGGTGGGAGGATAGCTGTTCATTCAGATGGCTACAGCTCTGTTTTGAATTTGCCCACTGTTGAGCGGAACTGCCTCATCCAAGGCTACAGCCCCGCTGCCCAGGGAGTCTGCATCCAGTCACTGGTTAATCCAAAGTATGAGAACTTTTTTCTTCCATCAATTTGTGGGTAGGCTTGAAGGGCTGTCTCAACTCCAAACGATCTCAAAAGGATTATCTTAAGAATTCTGCTATAATTTCATCACAGTCTAGTTGCTGCCTCTGTCCTGTTCTCCTTGTGCTTCCTCGCAGTCAGTGCTGTTTCTAAGAAACAATAAGCGTCCTGCACACAAATCTCCATCTCTGATCTGTTTCTAGGAAACTCAACCTACGGCTGTGGGCACCAGAAATGGTCCTAGGAAGTAGACTCTAAGTGAAATGTTTGAGTTTAATCACCTGCTGCACAGAGACACAGCCATAGTCAGTCCAGGAACCTAATTATAAGTGTGGTAGAGCTTGAGAGAAGGTTGAACTGCTAACCCTAGCAGCTCTGCCACAATACAGAAAAGGCTCCAATTAAGCAGCTGCACCCCAGGACCAGAGATGGAGATAAGTGGGTCAGTACACTTGAGGACCTTGAAACCCAAATATAGCTGAACTCCATGGGCCAGCAGAAGTGTCTTACTCCTCCTTGTTAAGGGATAACCTGCCCTTGCTTGTAGATGATATAGTGACTTTGTTCTTGAAAGACAGTACAGTGCCCTTTTCCAGATCTAGCCACACTCAGCTCCTAGCTGCTAGACCCCTAATTAGAGTCAAAACTTAACCCACATGAGGAATTCCTG